TAGTAGTTGGTCATCATACATTCTTGTGTTTCCGCTCAGTTTGCAATACTTGGTAAAGTCAAACTAATTATTAAGTAAAACTAAACAAACAATAAACCTATGCTTTAATGTATTTTCTGCTAAACGTTTACATAAGACATGTAAAATTTCAATCAATTGTTGTCGCTAAGGCGTTTGCGATTGCATTTTGTTTGAAACTCCATTGTTTACGTCAGCGTGGCGTGTTATTTAAGCCCTAAAAATCTTGATTCCGGTGTTTATTCTTCCTAAATCCGAAATTTCCCTCGGCATATTCTTGTGCCGCGAAGACGATCATAATTACTTTTTTTGTTCTCGAATGGAACCATGACACCTCTGAGGAAAACGAGTTAATTTTTTTTATAATCATCAGCTACGAGAAACTTCGAAAATATGGCTCCGACTTCACAGCCTTGTTTATATCACAATCTAAAAACTTTATTTGAAAATTAAAAACTTGAAAATTTATTCCAGAAATTGATCAGTTTAGGCAGGACAATTTTCAAACTGGACAATTGAATAATTTGGCATACTGGAAAACTTAACTTTTTCAATTTCTTTGTTCATTCTGCTATAAAATTGAGCTTTTACTTGCAAAAAGCTATGAAATGGAAAACAAACACATTTAAGTATCGTTGCTCTCTCTTAAACAAACAAACTTTATCAGAAACCAAACATTATTAAATCTCAAGCCAACTGAAATTGGTCTAATGTGAGGAGACATTGCCCAAAGGCAAATAGTTATTAAATAGGAATTCCATCGGGGCACATACCTCCCTGAGATTGCCTTTTAATACCCAGCTTGTATATTTCTGCTGAAAAAGCATTGGGGTGGGCAAAGTAGTATTCTACCTGCATAGCTAGATTATATATTCATTCGCCAGCATGTCTGGCACTGCAGTCAGAAATTTTCAGACGGCTGGTAGTAGGGACGTGTAGCTGATTTTATGTAAAAAGTATGTTTAAAGTATGATGAAAAGCAAAATGACGGTATGTACAAGGGGGGTATTGTGTAAATACTATATTAATAAATTATAATTCAAAAAAAAATTTAACTTCCATGTGCATTATTATAAACCGGTAATAAAAGGGTTAAATCAAGCTTGGATGACTTGGGACTCACAATGTAACAGATATATTTCACGAATCTTAGTGGAAGGATTTTTGGCGCTTCAGAAGTATGTGCACAGATATGGCCGACACCAGAGAGTAGTATGTGTACCTGGTTAGGATTAGGCCATAATTTTATTCCAATTCTAATTTCTTAGTTTAGTTCTTTTACAGGTTCGGGAACTATTCAAATGACTCCCGTAGTATTTTTACCTGAAATTATGGTCTAACCCAGTGGTTTTTAAACTTTTTGAGCCGTGCCCCCCTTTAAAAAATTTTACAAACTTCGCCCCCCCCCCCCTCTTTTTGCTTCGAAAAAATGCTTTTGTGATGGACAAGTTGTTATATATTAAGATGGCGCTATAACTGAGTTTTGGTCTCATAGCGTCATTACTCAGATTGTTTAGGCATAAAACGCTTCGGAGTACAACTTGGCCATTCACTGTCATATGTAATGAGCCATAGTAATGTTCATCATACATTCTTGTGTTTCCGCTCAGTTTGCAATACTTGGTAAAGTCAAACTAATTATTAAGTAAAACTAAACACGCAATAAACCTATGCTTTAATGTATTTTCTGCTAAACGTTTACATAAGACATGTAAAATTTCAATCAATTGTTGTCGCTAAGGCGTTTGCGATTGCATTTTGTTTGAATCTCCATTGTTTACGTCAGCGTGGCGTGTTATTTAAGCCCTAAAAATCTTGATTCCGGTGTTTATTCTTCCTAAATCCGAAATTTCCCTCGGCATATTCTTGTGCCGCGAAGACGATCATAATTACTTTTTTTGTTCTCGAATGGAACCATGACACCTCTGAGGAAAACGAGTTAATTTTTTTATAATCATCAGCTACGAGAAACTTCGAAAATATGGCTCCGACTTCACAGCCTTGTTTATATCACAATCTAAAAACTTTATTTGAAAATAAAAAACTTGAAAATTTATTCCAGAAATTGATCAGTTTAGGCAGGACAATTTTCAAACTGGACAATTGAATAATTTGGCATACTGGAAAACTTAACTTTTTCAATTTCTTTGTTCATTCTGCTATAAAATTGAGCTTTTACTTGCAAAAAGCTATGAAATGGAAAACAAACACATTTAAGCATCGTTGCTCTCTCTTAAACAAACAAACTTTATCAGAAACCAAACATTATTAAATCTCAAGCCAACTGAAATTGGTCTAATGTGAGGAGACATTGCCCAAAGGCAAATAGTTATTAAATAGGAATTCCATCGGGGCACATACCTCCCTGAGATTGCCTTTTAATACCCAGCTTGAATATTTCTGCTGAAAAAGCATTGGGATGGGCAAAGTAGTATTCTACCTGCATAGCTAGATTATATATTCATTCGCCAGCATGTCTGGCACTGCAGTCAGAAATTTTCAGACGGCTGGTAGTAGGGACGTGTAGCTGATTTTATGTAAAAAGTATGTTTAAAGTATGATGAAAAGCAAAATGACGGTATGTACACGGGGGGTATTGCGTAAATACAATATTAATAAATTATAATTCAAAAAAAAATTTAACTTCCATGTGCATTATTATAAACCGGTAATAAAAGGGTTAAATCAAGCTTGGATGACTTGGGACTCACAATGTAACAGATATATTTCACGAATCTTAGTGGAAGGATTATTGGCGGTTCAGAAGTATGCGCACAGATATGGCGGACACCCGAAAGTAGTATGTGTACCTGGTTAGGATTAGGCCATAATTTTATTCCAATTCCAATTCCTTAGTTTAGTTCTTTTACAGGTTCGGCAACTATTCAAGTGACTCCCGAAGTATTTTTACCTGAAAATATGGTCTAGCCCAGTGGTTTTTAAACTTTTTGAGCTGTGCCCCCCTTTGAAAAATTTTATAAACTTCGCGCCCCTCCTCTTTCTGCTTTAAAAAAATTTTTTTGTGATGGACAAGTTGTTATATATTAAGATGGCGCTATAACTGAGTGTTGGTCTCATAGCGTCATTACTCAGATTGTTTAGGCATAAAACGCTTCGGAGTACAACTTGGCCATTTACTGTCGAATGTATAAAGCCAAATAGTAGTGGGTCATCATACATTATCGTGTTTCCGCTCAGTTTGCAATACCTGGTAAAGTCAAACTAATTATTAAGTAAAACTAAACAAACAATAAACCTGTGCTTTAATGTATTTTCTGCTTAAACGTTTACATAAGACACGTAAAATTTCAATCAATTGTTGTCGCTAAGGCGTTTGCGATTGCATTTTGTTTAAATCTCCATTGTTTACGTCAGCGTGGCCTGTTATTTGGGCCCTAAAAATCTTGATTCCGGTGTTTATTTTTCCTAAATCCGAAATTTCCCTCGACGTATTCTTGTGCCGCGAAGACGATTATAATTACTTTTTTTGTTCTCGAATGGAACCATGACACCTCTGAGGAAAACGAGTTAATTTTTTTTATAATCATCAGCTACGAGATGCTAAAGATAGAATATAGAAGTGAATCCGTAACTAAAAATTTCTTTATTGTGAAAGTGGCATTATAAAATACTAAAAATAAAACGGAAAACGCCATGAGTTTTGTTTTGGGGTGGACCGCGATAGATTAAAAACACTTTCTTGGACATTGAAAATTTCATAAATTCCTTGTGCGTGCAGCACACCAATAGTGTTCTCAAACTACAGACTTGATATGAATTTCACTCCGTGGGATCGCAGACTTAGGAATATCTGTAACGGGGATATCTTGAAATTTATGGAGTGGCGGCATTGCGATAGAGCGGAGTAAGAGTTGCAGGGACAGCTCATATTGGTGAAATTGGCAAGAATACAAATCAAAACAAAATGTAATCGACATTTTCACGGTTGTGGATTACCGTGTTATTTTGGAGTACTGGTGCTTTTATTTTATCGACGCAATCGCAGATTTAATTTATCACAATTAAATGAATAAAGCAACCATTTTAAATAAGTATATTAATCATGGATTGAATATTTTATTCAACAAAAAAAACATTACATATCCGTTGAAAAAGTCGGCTCTTTTAACGACTGGCGTAATCTGGAGGACTGACTCAGAAGCCGTACCGCGGGGATTTCATTTCGATGAATATCTATTTTTCATCTACTAATATACTTTACATTTATTTTAATTGTACTAGATTAAATATACTTTCTGGGATATTATATCAGATCTTTCGAATGACGACAACGAATTCGCATTCGTGCAATATTTATAAAACCTAAATATAATCGGACAGTTGATCACACTTTATTATGTCCGCGGATTGGCGTGGTATTTCAGATAGGTAATGAGTTTATTTTGTCGTGAGTCGCCGCAACCGCGAGTTACCTTGAACACAAATGAATTAAAATAGAGAGACATTTTGAAATATTGTAGTTATTACGAGACAGAAAAATTTATTATAACACGAAAAGCCGGTATTTTGAACGAACGCGGAGACTGTTCAGTTACATGTAATGTTACGATTCCATCTTGTGACCTCTCGCGCCCCCCCCCCCCCTGTGAGCATCTCGCGCCCCCCCTAGGGTGGGTGCGCCCCCCAGTTTAAGAACCACTGGTCTAGCCCTAACCTGGTACACATACAGCGTTCCGGTTTCCGCTATCTTGGTGCACATACTTCTGGAGCACCAGATTTTTTTGGAAAATGGCTAGGTTTGAAGAAGGAAAAATTTGAAGAACTATAAACTGAGCATAAAGGCAAATTTAGAAACTTCGAATATATGGCTCCGACTTCACAGCCTCGTTTATATCACAATCTAAAAACTTTATTTGAAAATTTATTCCAAAAGTTAATCAGTTCAGGCAGGCAGGAGATAGATTGAACTAATTGTGTTTCTGAAATTATGTACCTTTAAGATCTATGCAGTAAAATACAAAATGTCAATGACCTTGAAAAATACGGATGCAAAGTTTATCTACGATGCAGTTGATGTATTTCATAAGTCCCAATGGAAAGAATTTTCTAGATTGAAACTAGGTTTGAACGACAGAGAAATCAAAAAACTACAAGCTGATCATGAAGGGGATTCTAAAGAGCTCAAGTATGAAACAGTTAAACATTGGAAGAGCACAACTGGAGAAAATCTGGACAAATTGACCGCTCTAAAACAGGAATATTTTTTCAGCAAATCAGAAACGAATTTCTCAAAACTGGTAGAGGCACAAGATGATCTTGATGGCGGAAAGAGACGAGATGAGTTCAGTTATCCATTAAAAAACGGAAAAGGTATTGCACTCATTATAAGCAATTCTTTTGCTGGCACTGAATATTCCAGAGAACCTGGATGTAGTAGAGATTTGGAAAACATGGAAAAATTGTGGCGCAAAACCTTGGGATGTAAACTAGTGGACAGGGAAGCTCATCGCGATAAAACGGCTGATGAAATGAGAAAATTGTTGGAAAAAGTCGCGAAAGCAAAAAAATTCGATTATGCCGTTGTCATTATAAGTACGCATGGAGGATACGTCCCAATGGAAGAACAGAGAAATGATAAATATCAAGAAACAAAGCTAATAAAATATGAAGAAATCCTATATGGAGAAGACTTGGGCAAATTAAGAGCTAATGAACTTCAAAAAATCTTGGGCAATAAAGAAGCTCAACACTTGAGAGATATACCGAAATTGCTAATTCTCCAATACTGCAGGGGAGAAAAGATTGATAAAGGAGTTCCTAAAGTTAGTACTGATGCAATTGGATTTTCAGATCACCAAAAAACTGAAGAGCTTTATCCTGTGGATCCTCTTATGCCCGAGATGAGTGATATCATTACTGTATATGCAACTCATCAAGACTTCGCTGCTCTCAGGCATGATGAAGGTTCCTGGATGATCGAGGATATTGCTGATGTGTTCGGAAAGTACTACAAGACAAAGCATGTCACTGATATGCTTACAATCGTGAATAACCGGATGAAAAACAGGAGGGGAAGCACGAAAGGAGGGGGGGATTGTAAGGCAATGAGCATCTATGAGTCCAGTCTCACCAAAGATTTCTATTTGGTTCAATAAACCAGCTTTAAAAAAATGTAAAGAAAAAAGTAGAGCAGCATAATAATTAAGACTTGATTTATCCTTGTAAATATTACATGATTCATGGTTTCCTTAAGACTCAATACTACATGACCTTGTCCTGGCAGAAATAGTCAATGGAGACTTTAGAACAGTGATTCTCCAACTTTCATGATCAGTGGCTCCCTTTAAGAGATTCTCAACAGTGCACGGCCTGTCCCATGCTGGAAAAATTTGTCATTGGAAAATATGACTATTGGTTCTCAAACATTCATGATTCAAAACTGCATTCTGAAGACTCTCAACACTACATTGCCCTGGTCTGGCAGAAATTGTCGATGGAGACTATCACCCATTGGTTCTCAAATTTTCATGACTCGTTGGTCTGTTCAAAAATTCTCAACAATACATGGCCCGCCCGATGCTGGAATTGTCATCGCTAAATCTAGGCATTGATTCTCCTACTTTCAAGATCCATGCTTCTCTATCAAAGACTCTCAACAATGCTTGGCCCGCTCCATGCTGAAAGAAATTGTCATTGGAAAATCTAACTCTCAAACTTTCATGATTTGTAGCTGCATTCTATAGATCTCAACACTTCATAGCCCCGTACTGTCAGAAATTGTCATGGGAAACTCTAACCATTGATTCTCCTACTTTAAAGATCCGTACCTCCCTAACAAAGACTCTCAACAATGCATGGCCCTCCACAAGCTAGAACAAATTGTCATTGGGAAATCTAACTGTGGGTTCTCTAGTTTTCATGATTCATAGCTCCATTCTAAAGACTCTCAACACTTCGTAACCCTGTTCTGGAAAAAATTGTCGATGAAGACTATCAGCCATTGATTTTCAAACTATCATGGCTTGTGGCTCCCTTTTAAGAGACACTTCATAGCACATGGAAAAATTGTCATTGGAGACTCTAACCAGTGCATTTTAAACCTCTAGGATCCATAGCTGCCTTCTGAGACTCTCAACACAGCATGCCCCATGCTCTTCGATCAAAAAGACCTAATTTTTGCTTTTTGCAGTTTCTAAACCGTTATTTGCAAATCAATTTTGAATTAATGTAGTGATCAATGATAGCTAGTGGGGACTATTGTCTGTGGGAGTGGCCCACAAAGAATCTATCTGTTGCCCCCAAGGGGCCCGAGGTCCCATCTTGCTGTTTTAAGTGTTCCTATTGGTGCTGTTATGAGCATTCCCATTGGTGTTTTCATCCTGGTCATGGAGTCATAAAAATTACCAGCCAACTTTAAATTCCGATATATTTAAAAGTACTCCCCAGAATGAGAGAAATTTTTGCCTGACCATCGAATTCAAGAACATCATATTTTAATCAAAAATACTCTTGTTCATGGAAGCTTTGATTTATTGTCTGTTCAGATATCTTATTTTATGGACCATAGGGGCGCACTCCAAATCTATTTTTTTTTTCAATTAATAATGTGCCTTATAAGCACGTGGGCCAAATGCGGCCCACATGGATAAATTGTGTGGCTCGGTGGCCCGCGGAGAAGTGCCAATTTTTCTTAACAGTTATTCGTTAAGTCATTTTAATTCATTGTAGTGACCAATGATACCCTAGTAAAGGCTATTGCCTTTGGGTCCCAAAGAATTTATCTATTGCCCCCTAGTGGCACGAAGTCCCATCTTGCTGTTCTAAGTGTTCCCATTGGTGCTGTTTTAAGAGTTCCCATTGGTGTTTTCTTCATGGTCATGGGAACGTCAAAAATTACCACCGGACTTTAAATTTCATAATATTTTAAAAGCACACTCCATATTGAGAGAAATTTTTACCCCGACCCCCGAATTAAAAAACATCATATTTCAAGCAAAAAAACTTTTATTTTTAGTATGGAAGCTTTAATTTATAGTCTGTAAAAGTTAAATAAACCTAATACAATATTTTATGGACCATAAGGCGCCCTCTAAATACTTCTTCTCTTAAAAATTGATTGTGTGCCTTATAAGCCAGTGCCATCAACCTTGGCACTCATTGTATGGATTGGATAATGCTTTATTTTCCACGCTCAAAACAAGTACCAGCGTGCCTTATGTATGAATTAAAACCCAATCTGAGAAATTTATTGACGATGCGTCTTATGGATCGTAAAATACGGTAGTTTCCACCAGGAATTATTCTTAGATCAGTGGTGAGCAAATTACGACCTGCGAAATGTCCACTGAAATGTTTCATCTGGCCCACTTGTGCCTGCTGAAATTTTGATTATAGCTTTTATGGATGTACATTTCTCATGTAACAAATGAATATTGTATTACATTAGTGCATCGAGTAGGCTTGCAAATGTTATATGCTCTAGATTTTTGTAAATAAATTGTTTTCCATAGTCGAGTTTATTTTTTCCATTCTATAGAAAAATAACATACGGAAAAGTAAAATAAAATTAAACACACCTTTTCACTGGGGAAGGGAAGTCGCAGGGAACCAAGTTTCGATATAAATATTTCATTTTCAATTTCATATTGAGTTTTGAAACCTCCGGCCCAGTAACAAAGTCTATTATCTGTAAGGGGCCCACTTGAGAAAGTAATTGCCCTGCCTTAGATTAACCACTACTAGATTTCGGAAATTGTGGCTCAGACTTCAAAAAGTGTTAAAATATAACTCTGACTCCAGTTACATAATTGCATCCCCGCACACTTTTTTAGTATGTTTTATTAGCATCTTATCTAATCAGATAATGCAATCTATATGAATCAAACTATTTGAGAAGTTTTCAATAATAATAATAATAAATGAAACTGCAATAACTTTGTTGTTCTTGTTTTATACTAGCAGTTTTATTTGGGTTTCCTAGAAAGTGTTTTAGGAGTCTGTAGGGAAACTAGAAGTTATATAAAGTCAAGTAATCATTTTCGTGTTTCGTCACATACATTCTGATTTGAGTCTATATCGCTATACACACAAACGAGTAATTGGCACTTTATCAACTGTCCTTATTACGTTTAGCATACAGCTTGATGAAAACAATAATGTTTCTTAGTGCAGTCGACAATTTAGTCTTGCATATTTCGTGGTACTCCCGTAATACGTGCACCAGGTTAGGGTTAGGCCATAATTTTATTCTGATTTTTCTTATTTTAGTTCTATTACGAGTTTGGGTACTGTCTCTGTTAGCCATGTGAATATACACCCTTCGAATCCTACGAGTGCTAGTGAAGTGTTCAAAATGGGAAACGTATATTTCGAAAGCAAGAAAACATAAGGATCGATTTGTACATATGGGGATACATTCTAGGCCTGTGGCCTATTGAGGGGCTGCAGAGCATTTGGAGGGTTGCTGCCATGCCAGGCGCGCAATTGATTTTTCTTTCCCCTTTTCCTAGCCACCGTGTCAGGCGTAAAACTGATTTTACTTTTTACTCCCTTCACTAGAAAACTCCCCATTTCTTCCTAGTTTCATTGCTTGCTAAGGTTATTTCACAGAATGTTTCCCCTAAAAAAGCTTGAGAAGCTTGATCTAATAGAAATAAGCAATAAACCAAGTTGAGATATTTTTAACTTTTTTTTTTCAATTCGCCTAAAGCAAAGTCACACAAAGAAATAAAAGATATCGATCTTTGAGCAGAGTAACTGGCGACCAAGCAATTATTCATTTGAATGGTCTCCTTCAGACAGCAGTTTAGAAATAGAGATGGATATAGGGTCCCAATGAAATGATTAGATGTCATGGCTGTGTTCTCATATACCAAATATACCTTGCATGACTACTAGGGCTGTCCAAGCGAACCGAATATTTGAAAAAACAATGAACCAACATAAAATATTTACAGTATATGTTTTTTACAACACACATTTGAAAAAATTGTATTAATTGACGCATCAAACTTTAAAGTTAGCAATATAGCAGAAACTTCTGAACCAAAAATTTTACTATAGAAAGTACGCACAATGGCTTACTGGTTCGGGTGTTGCACTTAACTATATTGCAATTGCATGTAAGGTGGAGAATTGCGGCTAAAAATACTTTTACCAAGTCGAATGAATAACCATCGAAAATAATTTTTTAAAGTTGCAAATTGGCTTTCAGTTTTGGATTGGACATATTTCAACCATGAAAACACGGTTTACTAGACGAAATTGACCAGCTATTCTCAGAATATACTTTTGTAAGTGTGGGACAGGGATGGCAGAGTGGGATAAAAGTGCTAAAAAGGCACTAGGGTAAAATAAGTGAGACACAACGTAATTACAGCCAAAGTTATGATTACTGACAGAATATATTTGTGTAAATTTACAAATAGGCCCATTCGGATTGAACAATTTTAGCCAAAATCAGACAAAAATTACCAGTTAATTTTAAAATGCCATTTCATAATAGTGGGACCAGTGTGGCAATGGTGCTGAAAAAGTGGGCACACCATTTTTGAGACAACACACTGTATGTAATGCTGGAGATTTCGACCAAAAATTAATTCAATCTCACATTTAATTACTGAATATAATTTTGTAAAGTTATAAATTGGGTTGGATTGAACACTTTAAGTATTGGAAAAAATAATATGACACTTGATCTAATTTCATTTTAAAAAAAGTGAAAGTAATATTTTGCTATGAAATCGTCAAAGAGTGTATGAAAAGCGCTGTATAATATAATTTTTGACACAAAATTGACTTTTTGTACCTGACTACCATGGACTTGAATAGTGATGGTCTGACACTTCATGTTTCTGCATTTTCATTAATCAAAGAGTCCAGGCATGTGCAATCATCCACTGACACATAAAGAACCAAATTTTGAAAAAAAAAACGATATTTTTCCGGTTAATCACTGCATAGGTTAATCACTGCATTGAATTGTAATTCAATTCATTACAACCCTGGGTGTGTTGGGGGCTTCTTTGAGGCTTTGTTGCTTTTTCTATCAAATTAGTCATGGTTTTGCTCTTTTAGGAGAATTTGTTCTTCAGTGAAGATTGTCCGTATATTTGTGCTTTGATTTTATTAATGAAGAAGATAAACCACATAGCTATGATTTATTGTATGGTGTTCAATAGATACTGGTTAGTCTTTAACAATAATAGCAATATAATGATAGAGAAAGTAAAATTACATCTTTAAAAGGGACTTGTTGAGAAGCCATCGGGTCATGACATTTTGTTGGAGCTGCAGTCAAGCTTACCATAATAGATAGAGCCAGAGGTACCAAAAATATCTGTGGCTTCAGCTCTGAACCATCAATTTTACTATTTTTCAACTTTTATAATTTTCTAATACTATATACAAATAATAAATTCTATCGTTCTAACCTTATATTTCCATTTCAAATATTAAGTTAGGTTTCGTTGTTGAAAATTAAAGTTATGTCCATAGGATGAGAGTTTCATATTTATACAACGTGAGATGACCAATGCGTCGTGATGTAGATTTTGGAAATCACTGCTATTGTTGAATCTTGTCTTTTTATTTATTGGATCTCCAGCACATCCAAGCTATTATGGCAAACGCTGCCACATCTACGACCGACAGTATCGCTATAATACAAATGTAGGCAGTAACATTAGAGGCTTGGAGTTTGCACACTGTGTCAATTTCCTTTGTAGAAGACGTTTCATTATTCTTGATTTTGTTTTTTTCTCTAAATTTGGGGGTTTTGATGCCATGATTAACTCCAATAGGGGTCGTTGTTTGTTTATTTGATGGGGATAGAATGCTCTTCGTCGGCTCGTACATAGTTGGTGTTGCCGTTAAATTAGAAACATTACGATTTTCCTCTTTATTAGGTTTTTGTTCTTCAGTGATTTTCTTTCTGTTTGGTGGTGATCGTATGGACGGTTTCGTTTTGATCCTAAAAATAATAATTTATATTCAGTGTTCAAGAACGTCAAAGTGGATAAAAGCATGACCATCATGTTCAAGAGATGTTGGTTCTAATCCCACTGGAGATTTTCTTATACAAGAAGAGCATTAATGGACTTTTTCCTGTAGGTATGTACACCCTATTATTTCATAATATTACTAGTGAATTGTATAATCCGACTTCTTACATGGCCCCCAGATTCCACACCTCACCCAGGGTGTTATAAATTGTGTAGGTAAAGGCAAACTGGAAAAATGCCAGCCCTTCCAAATAAGAGTACTTCTTACATATTGTGAGATATCAGTAGCTGATATCATGGAGTCCAGAGTGAAATGAGTGAATAACCGCCCACACCCCTAGCGGGGACTAGGTCCCAGTTCGACAAACCCCGGCATGGTCATGGATTTAGTTATGAAAATACCTTAAACAGGTGAAGGGGTCCAGTAATCTAATCAATTCGATGCATCTGAAACAAATAACTGGCTAACTAATGTTATACCTGATATGAACTGGTAACCGACAAGAGGCCACTGTTCATCATATGGTTAAGATTTTTCATCAAATTCTTCCCCGGGATGAATATGAATCCTAATTAAATTACTAAAAGTCTAGAAAGTTACCATCGTAATAATCGGTTAAATTTTCAACTTACTCCGTGCATGTATTGCTATATTCTGGATTATCATTTTGGTATCCATGCCTGCATTTCTTGCAGTACCTTTCTCCCAACCAGCCTTTAGCATATTCAAAGTAGTCTTTCTGGCAATGTTCTCCATCTTTCAAAGGTCCATATACATGCCTTCGAATCTCCTTGGTAGATGAAATTTGTGATAGAAGTATGATTATTGTCACAAGCAAAATTGCTGGTAGTTTCATGCCTAGTTTATATTATGATATTCTGATAATAATTTCATGAAGTTAGGATTCAGTCAGTAATCTTTTGATGACGTTTGGCCGGTAGTCTTTGAAGCAGGGTTGGCGAGCTGGAGTCAGAGCTTGGAGTCATGGAGCTGTGACATTTTGGTGGAGCTGGAGCCAAGCTTACCGTATTGAATGGAGCCAGAGCTAACAGACATTTTAGTTGCTCCAGCTCCGAACCATCTAATAATTTTTTAACATTCATAATTTCCTAATACTTCATACAAATGATAAAATCTATCCTTCATCATGTTAATATAAAATCTCAAGTGGAATTCATATATTTATAACTTCAATTTCAAAATTTGAAATCCTTACATCAGGGGCCGGCAAGTCGCTCACAGTCCGGAATTAAGGGATGTAAGTCATTGGCGGGCCGCATTTTTTTTAGGAAGTATCAGCGCCATTAAACCCTTTGCACTTAGCATCAACTTTTCTGCGTTTTGTTGCAATTTGTCTAATTGTAATTCTTTTATGAGTCTCATTAAAAAAGTAATTGTAAATTTTATACTTGTTAGATTTTAATATAATTTAGTTTACACGTGTCTCACAATAAATTTTGTTACATTAGGAATATAATCGTCAAAACAGCTGTTTCGTTACTTTATATTAGTCCCGGGGGCCGTAGGTTGCCGACCCCTGCCTTACATCATACTTTTGTGTCCCGCTTCCACGAAACTGCATGGTCGGATATTTCATGATAGTGGTCACATTTAAACATGGCGCTTGAGCCCAGCCCTGACAGAAAAAAAAATGAAGCTCTGAGCTGGAGACACTGTGATTTCGAACCAGCGCTCCAGCCCTGCTTTGAAGTAAAAACTAATATAAAAAATTTTGACTTTTTTATATGAAAAACTTCGGGTTTGCGGGTTGCAAGCTTATAAGTAATGATTAGAGTTAGATTTATGGAACAACAAGCTCGACTTCGACTACTCAATTTATTAAACACTACTTTAATGTAAATAGACTTTGTGATAGTTTGGTGGTATTTTGGCGCGATGGCCAAGGGGTTGAAGCATTAAACTTGGCGCTCCTGTAGTATGTGAACCAAGATGGCAGACACCGGAACGTAGTAGGTGTACCAGGTTAGGCCATAATTTTATTCCAATTTGCCTTATTTTAGTTCTATTACAAGTTCGGGGACTAGCCAAGTGACTCCCGTAGTATTTGTACCTGAAATTATGGCCTAACCCCAAGCTGGTACACATACTACGTTCCAGTGTCTGCCATCTTTGTTCAAATACTACAGGAGTACCTTAAACTTCTTAACTGTGCTGGCATCTTTACCTATTTTGGGTTCAAATGCCACGTCTCTACCTGAACCAGATTGTAATGAATTATGTAAGTAATGGCGAACAGGAAAGATTCGGTCATTCCACATAATAATTAATATTAGATATCAGTGACTACTTATTTAGGGCCTTATTTAAGGTGCTCCTAAAGAATGTGAACCAAGATGGCGGATACCAGAACGTAGTATGTGTACCAGGTTAGGGTTAGGCCATAATTTTATTCCAATTTTCCTTATTTTAGTTCTATTACGAGTTCGGGACTAGCCAAATGACTCCCGTGGTATTTGTACCTCAAATTATTACCTAACCCTAACCTTGTGGAAACAGCCCTCTAAATTTCAAATTATAAAAAGCTTGCAATTGTAAACAATTGCTTAACGTATTTGTTTTTAGTGTTCACCTTATTTATTGTGTTTAGTGTTCACCTTATTTATTGTTCATCCAATAATAACAGTGGTACTTCGGGTGTCGCTGCTCGATAACCATTTTTGGTTCCCCGCGACTTCCCTTCCCCAGAAAAACTGTGTACTTTATTATTTTCTTGTAATTTGTTTTACTGGTTGAAAAAAATAATATAAAGTTGATGGTACATATACTACTTCCAGGTTCCACCATCTTGGTTCACATGCATACTTATTCTGAGCACAAGGTGTGAATAAACTAGGGGCAGGAATTTTTAAGGGGTAGTTTTCGAATTCCTAATTGGCGAATTACAAGCTGGTCCGGTCACAGGCCGGAAGCGTTGGTTTTCAAGAGTCTTCAAAGTCTAAAAAACGTTTCAAGCTAGAATAATTGCTATGTATGACACAAAAACAATTTATTTTTTTACATTTTGAAGGGGGTCCCAACCAGGGATGGCCAATTCGAATAAAGTATTCGAATATCTCGTCATTCGAATATCGGAATTCACGTTCATAAGAATATCGGATATTTGTGTGACGTCACACATTTTCGACGCCGCTTTCAAGACGTTTCCGTTGAATGAAAACATTCTCGATAGAAACTTGCGCGTGATTGTTTTCATCACTCATCAGCGTAACGTGTTATTTAGGCCCGCAAACGCCTTTACGATTGTGTTATTTTCTCTAAAACGAGAATTTTCCACAAATTTGTTCCACGATAACGATAACATTTATTTTATTTTTGTACGCGCACGGAATTGTGAATCTGGTAAATACGTTCATCGGCGGCGAGTTTCTAAAGACAACGCAACTTTTTGATTGAAAAGCGGCAATTTAAAATACTGAAAATAAAACCGTAAACAACATAAGTTTTATTGAGGCCCGCGAAAATTTAAAAAACGCTTTTCCAGGCAGTGAAAATCGCAAAATTTCGTGTGCACACATTATGTTTGGTCGCCGTTTAGAAACATATCGTCACTAATTGAGGGCGGGATTTGCCTGATTATCCATTACTTTAATATGCTGTCAAATATTTTCGGGTTAACACGATACAAGGTTTGAAACGCGACTTTTTCCCTGGGTGTGAGGATGTATATAATATAATTAATCTAAAGTATATTCAATCAATTTTATTGTGATGAAATAAATTTTACTCTTAGCATTTCGATCGAGCGGAGTCACTGTTAACAAGTACATCTAAATATTTGCCGAATTCGCAAAATACGGATAAAAACAATATTTAATCGGACAGTTTACCTCACGTTTTTATTTTTATGGCCGCGGATTGCAATGGTATATAAGAGTGGTGAGAATATTATTTTGTCGACGCAACCGCAGGTTAAATTGAAGACCATTAAATTAATAAGAGAAAGATATTTTAAATATGCCCGTGTCGGTCACGAATTCATCACTTTGCACAACAGAAAAATATATATTCGTTGTTATATTATTTGTTGTAAAAGTCGACTCTTTTAACAGGTGGCATAATCGCGGCGATGAATATGTTCTTTTAATTTACTGCTAAACTTTATATGTATATTCATTGTATGAAATTAATTATTCTCTACACTAGATTTTTCTAACGGCGATAACGAGTTGGCAAGATTGCAAAAATACATATTAAAATTAAATACATCAAGCAGTTTATCTTGTAATTTTAGGTCACAGATTGCCGTGGACCGAATAGAAATGTTTTTTTTTTACTAAGAAGAAGCAACCGCGAAAGATATTTTAGAAACTTGTATTTGTCATGGATTGAATATTTTACGTAACAGAATGATCATTATACGCTGACAAGACGGCCCTTTCAACGAGCGCGGAATCGCGGTGGGTGTTACAGGCGGCAATGAGAATTTCCGATTTCGAAAATCCTGGCTGCGCGCTGGCAGTGGTGGTCATCTATTCTCTACTAATTTATTTCTAACTCCAAACACAACAATATGTTACACATAATAACAATATGGTTCACATAAATTTATATACAAATATACTGGTAGGTAGTAGAATACTCTAGGCTTAAATATTAGAATTTTTAAAGGTAATTATCTGAATACAAGTAGTATTTTTGTCAATAGACTATTATCGTAATATCATGGTACCAATGATAGAAAGCGTCAGACAACTCCTTGGCTATCTTTTCATATGGTCATTTGTACAAAGTGAATAAATTTAATAAACTGACTGTGTCACAAGTTGCTATTATTTTTTATTAATAGCTATAAACTATCAATTACTTTGTGTACATATACTGCTGGTCTGTGGCTTCATTCTGATATTTCTATTGAAGCTTATTTCCTAATTTACTGGGTTTTAATCAACTAAACAAAAATGTGTTATTTTTGATTTTAGAATGTATTCGGAATTCCAGATTCGAAAACATTATTTTAGAATGTATTCGGAATAGTTTAGTATTCGGAAATGGCCATCCCTGGTCCCAACCCTCAACCGCCCTTAGCTTCGCCCATGAAATAAACATTCAGTCACCTTACATCCTTTTTCACTGTCTTTTTTTTATCTATTGACAATCAGGACTGCATCGAATTGTCTATTTACTTCACCCCTATTGAACTTCATCAAGCACCCCATAGCATTCCTTTCTGCCAGCTGATCCATTGTTTATTTGAGAGCTATACTCACAATGAAACCTTTTGTATTTAGGTTAATGAATAACTAACCACTAGACTAGCATTTTTTTTCTTCAGTTCCTTCCTTCTTCAGTTTCTTTGTTTTATCATATTCACTGTCAAGGCTGAATCAGATCATCTTCATTACTTCACCCCTATTTACCTTTGCCAGGAACCAAACAGCACTCCTTTCCAGTCAGCTGATACATTGTTTATTTGTGAGGTATACTCACAATGAAACCTTTTGTGGTTAGGTTAATAAATAACTAACCAGTAGACTAGTTTTTTTCATTATACTATTTGGAAAGCCTACTTTCTCAATGAAGTTCACTACTTCTCATTCTATTCATACTCAGGGGTGAATCGTCACATTTCTCCCCTATTGCTTTTAAGTAAATAGATATGCCAGGGTCAATAGGGGGGAATCCTTACTTTTATTTCACCCTTATTGACCCGGCCGTATCTATTTACTTTCGTCAGCTGATCCATTCATTATCCTAAATAGTACTTTGTTATTTGGTTAGTAAATAGCAACTAGTTAAATACTATGTCAGCTCTAGTCAGACGCGCCTCGCTGAAACGTCTGGAATGTTTACCTGTCTGATTGACCCACGTGATATGCCGGTATTCACTTCACCACC